TCCCATGATTTGACTGTTGCGCAAATTCTCTGAGTTGTTATGGTTCCTTGAAGGGGTATGAATTCCTGTAATGGTCGGGCCATGAAAAATGTCCGATATTTTATTTGTAAAACACTTTTTTAAGGTGTAACCAATTCATAAACATCATGCTCTAGAAATCTCGCGTGGGCTATTAACACTGACACAAACCCAAACCTCTTCACGGTTGCGATCACTCGAAATTGCAACAGTACCCCCTATGGAACACAAAGTTTTTCGTACGGCTCAACACGCAACACATAGGACATTTTTCCTAAAGGTTACTATTCCCAACAGCTTTTTGAACTGTAAATATATAGGAAATCAGCAAAAGGAAATATATGAGCTAGTTCAGCTCTATTTTGGCAACACCTCGCGCCAGTGAAATCAGCAAGGATAATCAGTTGCTCCATTGGCTCCTCTTTAACAGTGAGCCGACAAACTCTGGAACGCTGTGGAACACTCCATTCCCAGCTACACACTATTCCTAATTTGCATGTGACGGATGATTGTTAGAGACGTCTTTTGTGACTGGCAAAATCGTCCACTTTGCAATTTTCCGGGGAAAAGGTTCTCAGTTTGATGACAAGCTTTACGCTCTCTCCCATGGATCCGAATTCGCGCCATGTGTGAGGTGAATAGGTCCGCAGCCGCCGTAGCGTTTCACTGTCTCTGGTCATGAGCGCATGGGAACGGAGAGGGGTTGATGATATCTAGGGTAAAGTTATACGGGTGCCGTCTCCACATTACGCCTGCTCTGCCACACGGTCAGCCCCACGCCCAACCATAGCCAAACGCGCTACTTGTCTGCGCCCTCGCACTTCTGTTTATTCAACCGCTGAAAGCATGTTTCGCCGCGACCTTCTTATCAACGCACAGGGTACAGCATGGGGATGTGCGAAATAGCCATGTGAGTACGACCCCCTCTCCAAAGAGGGGCAGTTACGAACCCCGCGGCTCTGCGCATCGGCCCAGGTACGAACCCCCCCCCCATGGGTTTTGGACAACAACGACTCGCTGTAACGCGCTGTCTAAGCGCCTGTTGCTGGGCACAGTGGAAGAATGGCGCGGGGCTGTGCTGGAGACGGCACTAGAAGCATCACTACCATCCAGCACTGTGCATGTGTGTGATTTTGCGCGAGAGAGGAAGTGACACGTGTTGGCCGCAGTTACAAAACGCCATTGCACCTCAATGTACACTCCTGCATCCATTACGGACTGGTCGGGGCGGTGCAAGTGGGGCGGCTGTGTTTTTGCGGTGGCCAGAAGTTTGTCTGCAGCCAGTTGTTTGAAAACGGGAGAGTGCTAAATCATGTCTTATACCTTCGTATTAGCTCGTTTCTAAGCACCATCTTTTTTTGTCGCATACGCGTTTCAACGAAAAGGCTGAGAACGGCTTCAAACAGTGTGCGCACTCCTACTGGCTGATACGCCCCGACAGTCCGTAATGATGAGGAGAGTAAAAGACCTTCTTTGGAAATGGGTGTGGAGTTTTCTTGAAAGTTCCGATAAACTGAGATTAAGGTAAAGTACGGCCATGAGGCGAGTAGTGTTCAAGAAATTAAGTACATCAGTGTAGAGCTCCAAAATAAGAAAGTTTGTTTTGAGCCGCACTAACCAATTTTTCTTCTAGTTGTATTCAGCAGAAAAAATTAAATGAGCTACACTTTTGACAAACATGAAATCTATAACACGACTTATTCTACTGTACTCCGAGGTTTTCATACATTTGCTTTCTCTCTGGAATGAAATGTCGCCGAACAGCATGGCCAATCATAGCGGACACCGATGTCAAACCAAGCACGATTCCCGAAAATATGGTAGCCTTGTTCTCGAACGATTCAGTAAGCGTTCGCTTACGGGTCCGTTCGCATAAATAAACTGAAAATCGCTTCGCATAATCACTTTTTTTCAATACAGTAATGTGTTGGGTAGGGTAATATCCTCAAAAGAATTCCTACAACTCACAATTGCTCTTTGGTCCATATGGTTGCACATCGATCTCTGGAGTAAACTCAGCTATGACATCCCTAAAATAGTTCACCTCACATGTATAACCTTACTAAAGGCGGTGATATTCTAATATTCGGAATACTGGAGCGGTGGAGCGTTACTTGCGAGTCAAGGCGAATGGCGGCGAGATAGGCTTTTGTGGCGGGCGTGACATACGCAGCGCATTCGCACGCAGTACCGCACCCACAAGGGCACACTCAGTTGGTTTAGGGATTTTTAGTCGACTCTGTAGCGACCCCCTCCTTGTTTTTGGGAGTTGGTAGCACATGTGTAAACAAGATAAAGCCGCGAGATGCAGATACGAACCCGCCCCCCTCTCTACACTAAGCAGATTTTTCGTGCCAACTTCTTCCTGCCCCTTTTTTTCCAAAATTTCATCCCTACTTTTTACCAAAAATTTTGCTGTCGAGCGGGGGTGGGGGCATATAGTACGCAAAACAGGAAAATATCACCATAAGTCACGCAGCCAGCTCGCACAACGACCCAAAACGTAAATACGACTCCCCTCCCTCTACAAGGTCCATGAAGCGAGAAAAATCAATCTAATCTATCATATAAAGCCAAATACGACCCCCCCCCCCCTCCTAGCGACCAAATACGACGACCCCCCCCACTATTGGGGATTCCCCAACAACGATGTGCCCTGCACTCCACTCAAGGTAACAGTGTTGAACGTCGACTCTTTCCACTCTCTCTGCGTCTGTGACGTCGGCTAGCTCTCTTTGTGCCTCTGTCTGACTAGTCCTGTAGTTAGGGAATGCTCCGCCTTTGCGCGCGATGCCGTGACTCGGAAGTAACCCTGAAAAACAGGTTCACGTTTCCACCTTGGATGGCTACTGGTTCGTTACCTTCCGGGCATAAACAGCGCCCCCCCCCCAAGAGTTCGAAAATGATGTCAGTGGCATCAGATTCAAGTTGATAGGTTGTAAGAGCCCTGCCACAACTAAATAATTGGAAAAGCCTTGGTCTAGCAAAGTTCGATCGTCAACTTGGTATTCACTCAGGGAACGGAACGTTTCGAAACACCTTATTTCTCTTGCAGAAGATACGTTCAGGTATAAGGCAACCGTACTTGTCAGAAAAGGAAATAGAAATCACAGCAGGGGACATCATTGGTCAGCACCTAGACCTTTATTTGACCTCAGTATCACAGAAAATAGCGTGGAAAAAGACCATTCTCCACAATGATGACATAGGCCTAAAAGCTCATACTGAAGAAGAACTTCGGGATAGGGCTAAAATGGCGGAAGTACTTGAGAACAGTCTCTGAGCGTGAAGAAGTAGAAGCTTCTAATTTTCGAAGAGAGCACAAAGCCCACATAGGCATCATTGGGAAACTATCGACAGAGCGGAGGACTTCGGCAAGGCCTGCTATGCTCGACGGCATTGAGTGCTGGCACGTAGGCAACAACCATGGAAGACCAGTACCGTCCTCTTGAAATGAGGTTGTGCAACTCCTTTCTGCTGTAATGAGGTTGCTGAGTGGTCCAACCAATAGTCAGAAAGCGATCATGACAGGACGGTCATGTGGATGCCCCTATCCAACTGAAGGCACGAGAAGACTGGAGGGGCGGGCGACGGCACGACGTGAAAAAAAGCAACAGGAATGCCTCTAAGAAGCACGAGGACGCGCTCAGTGACAAGACGACGGAAGAATGGAGGGAAAGACTCCATTAAAAACCCATTCCGAAGCGGGGGTTACGGCAGAGGATGGCTCGGATAGGAGGGAAGGGCGACGACCAAGCAGTAGCACCGGACCTCACTTATATAGCCTTATCATTACAAGAGAAGTCAGTTTACATGATATAATTGAAATTTCCGTAGGGAATTTCACTAATTATTTGAGTTTTCATGAAGTCGTTCATATTGTCACAAGCCTGTTTCTGACCTGAAGCCTGGGCTGTGAAGAGTGATATTGATGCGGTCCTTACACACGTACTTCTGCGTCAGTGGTGCACTCATAATTATGGACGAATTGTCGGATTCGAAACTTACAGTATCATCTGAAATCACAGGCACATGAACTTGTCTTTATTCCTAATTCATCTATTATTTCTGGGCTCGCCACCGTAGGGCCACAACTGATCTTTGCTCAAGAGTAAGGAGCTTGCCTATATGGCACCGAGACGGGTGAAATGACAGAAGTCAGAATGATCCCTCCCCAAAGGAACGATTGTTGATAAGGCTCAGTATGACTCTCTTTCAGGACTTATACGCTCTGGCCACTTTTTTTAAAGAATTTTTCTAGAGTCGGAGTAGTAGATTCGAGACCTCACCCGAGCAGCTGAGAAGGAGGAGGGGACACATCCCGACGGACAACCAGGAGAAAAACAGTTTCGCTGTCAATAAAAAAAAGGGAGGAGAGTGGTGGTGTAACGCGTGAACCGGGAAAGAACTACTGGAAAAATCCACGATACCCCTCCCTGGTTTCACGCAACGATTCTTTGATGGCAACAAAATCTTACCTTCATATGTCTCTGAATATACTACTTTTCGAAGCTGCCATCGTAGTTCCTCGTATTTCTTCACGAGCACATTTTTCTGTAAAAAAAGTTGCTTGCATGTAATAATGATAGCGAAATAATGTCAGGTTTTGATGAGCACATGAGCTAATAGCTTCACTTACCGTACCAAAGTAGAATTTCATACGCTTCTTCCTCTTTTCTTTAGTATTGGCAGTAGCTGTCAACAAAGCGTCACCTTTTAAAGTCCCTGGCACAGTAGCCGGATATCGTCGATGAAACGATGTCGAACTGAGCACGATTTAGAATACAATAAGGTGATTTTTCAGTACAAAAATAGCAATGAAGACATAACAATATTAAATCTTAAATTCCTGGATTTATAGCTTCTCTGAATAGGTGGTTTTTTTTGGCGAATCGCTGCTTTCTCCATCACGCAGCACATTCCCAAGTTATCCTCCAGGCCAGATTACTTAGGCCGATAGTAATGAACTTTAAGAATGCCCCCTCCCTCTAGAGAACATCTTCTTTGTTACATATGCTGCAACTAAGCATATCGACCATACAAAACTCTTACCGGTATTCGATTGTCGGTGTCGTTAATGTTGAGGTTAATGATGGTCACTGCAAATGTGACACCAAGGCAAACATTACCCTGAAATGGTAATTTATCTAGTCATAACGATTAAGCAATTATGGGCCGATTTCACCTTGCTGTCACGAAGTCCGACTTCCATTGTCTTCTCGTCGACGAAAGACTGTGTAGTTGGCGCCAATACGCGAATTAAAAGTCCTACGCACTACTGAAAACAGCTTAACGGTGTGGCGTTGTACATTCACGAAAAAGAGTTTCACTGTGGAGTTTTGGCAGCAGTTTACATCATGATTTTCTCCCAAGAATAGAGAGGTGACGGGTACGTGGCTTGGAGCGCCAGCCAGAGCAGATTTCCCACCAACTACAGAGGGCTCAGCATGGCATCATTGTTAGAACATGGCCGCCCAGCCGCGCTCCAATCCGCGTCGCGTCACACGCCCTATCGTTTGCAGGTATCACGACTGTAATCTAAAATGTGGAGAAAGCAAAGCACAGTGTATACATACACCTAGCGTGGGCATGATAAAAATTTTTTTTCTTCTTAGTGTAGCCAGTCCCGCTCCCCGATTCGGGCATGTTGGGGCAGCTTTCGATAGAACGCTCCCCTCCTTTGAACGGCCGACGGTCCTCTCTTGCTTCGTTGAGGAATCCCTGACGTATGATGTACCCTGCCACCGATATCTGTCGGGCGGGGAAGAAGGGCATCAGATCCTCTGAAGGATAGTCACTGAACTGAAATATCACCTACCGAAACGATTGTGTTAAGATGGGAGGAGAGGCAATATAACGCTTTTTGAGCGGCAAGAATCAATAACTCAAACAAATGTTTCCCAGGCCGAATTCAACATCAACTTTCCGCTGAGGATTCCCCCCCCCCTGTAAAGCGTGCCCTGAATGCAGAGGCAACGAGTTGATATTGCATTCAGCCGGCAAAAAAGTGGCCCGAGTTTGGCAGACTAGGGCGGCTTTATTCACCCTTTACCGCCCCAGTGCCAAACTGAGGCTAGTTTTTTCACCGACCTTGCTTTTCCGGAGGTGCTTTTGGCTAAAATTTGTCTCCTAAAATGAAACGGTGTCGCCTTGTCCTTCTGAACACGGGAATACGCATTCACCTTGTCCGAAATCGCATAGCGCCCACGCCATATGCGCCGGCGCCAGAACACCCTGAATCACTGAAATTGCTAGAAAGTTGTCCCCAGGGGTTATTTAATCCCCTGAACAAGAATGTCAAATCTGCATGGTGGAGTGCCAAGGGAATTGCGAGTACATAGAACGCATAGAAGGGCGGCGGTACATGTACCAGCGTGGTCTACTTCTGATTGTCTGCACGTGGTGCCGTTGCAGGTAACACTGGCACCATGCAAACTCAGGTCAAGCGGTTGTGATTTTCGTGTTTTGGAATTAGCCCTGGGGACACGTTCACAGCGAATTCGGTGATTTAGAGGGCGCCAGCACCTGTAGTGAGGAAGCTAAATGGTTATGGGTCAAGCGAATGTGGTGTTCGTGTTAAGACGTTGAATCACCATGGGGATAAATTTTTAGCCAGTCTACCCTCGGAGAAAACAGTCTGTAAGAAACTGGCCTGATTTTGAAATGCTTGGGCAATATAGGATAAATACTGCCGAATGCGCGAAAAGACATCATTTCTACAATTTTTCTTCTCTCTTTTCTCTACATCAGAGATCAATTATTCGAAACATTCATTATGAAACGGAAGCGAAATACTTTAACACTGGTGAACCAGAGACTTACCGAAGAGCGTCGTGATGCGTCCGCTTACTTGCATTGATTGCTAAATAACACATTCGAGTGGGCCATTCTAAGCCAGGGGATTGCGTCTCCTAAGAGAAATTGTGAAGACATAAGAGGGCAGCGCCGATGGGACGTCCTCTCGTTGAGAAAGAGAGATAAAGACAAAACGACCTGCGACGTTGGATTCTCTACCAGTTCCCTTTACCCGACTTGTGTGGTTATACAACTAGCTTCAAAGCAATTACACACCTTCCGCTGGCGATGAGATGGTTTGCCAGTGAGATTCATGTAATTGTACACCATTCGGATTGCATTTTATTTCAGTGTATGAGACTTATAATCGACAAGATCATAACCATTGATAGTCAGGAAGAGTGCCTTTGCGCCAGCTCCTCTTCGTAGCACTGGCGTAACCTACGATTGGGGGGAAGGGTTTGCTGCTGATGCTGCTGGCTGATTGTCGACTTCTTTGTTCTCTAAAGCAGACATCAGGAGTTAAATAGATGGTAGCCAGGGATAACTCGAACTGGGTAAGTTTCTCCCGACTCAGCAGGGAGCGGCCATAATTCCCAGCCGGAGATCCGTATTTTTTCTCGAAGTTATTTCATATGCGTCGCCTCTGCTGTCGTGGAGTAGTAAGGAATACTTTCTAAATTATTCCAAGCCGTCGGCCACATTCTGAAGATAGATTAGGCTACGCTCGTTATTCCGCCCACACTTCTTACCACTGACCTGCTTCCTATCCTAGACTCACCTTTTCACCAGTCTTACGAGTAATCTCAAAGCTTTGAGGCTTTGAGCAATTTTTTCAATATGTGTTTGGCTTCCGCCCAGCTCGGCGCAAGCTCCACCCACAACGCGTGTGTCCCACATTTGCGCCACTACCCAGCGTGATCATCTTGAAGTTTCACCACGAATACACTGAAACCATTCCCCATGTACATCTGCTTTGGCTCTGCAGGGGACCCTTCCTCTGAGATATCCAGTGTATGGGGGGCCGCATGGGTTCCCATGAGAAACCCAGTTCTCATTTACAGCCGCAACGTCTGCTAAAAACTTTTCAGTGTGTGCGAAGAGCAAGAAACTTGCACATGACCATTAGGCTCGCGTTGTCCCCTTTCTTCCCAACAACAACAGACAATGACAACCTCCTACCATGAAGCGTCCGTGAAACAACAAAAAACAGCCATAAAAAATCTGACTCAAAACAACCCCCCCACCGTGCTCCTCAGGCGACAAAATACGATGCGGGGACCCATAACGATGATGTGACGTGGTGTTTCGTGCCGGATGTTGCTATACTGGACGAACCCAAGCTAGTTTTGTTGTTCTGCTCCACGAAGGGACTTAGAGAAGCACAACGGCTCAGCTCTAATTACTGCTCTTCTGCAACATTTATTTGCGTCCATATTATGGCGCATCCCTACATTCAGTGGCAGCTGCAAAAGAACCCTTTTCAAAGTGAAGAGAATGTGGAACCACAATATTATACTCTTCATTCTTCAACAAGAAAAAACTCGATCACTGGCTATTGAACTTTAATAGTAAACCCGCGCTGAACCAGAGACTCAAATCTGATACTGTGTCATCCCGCAATTGATGCTTTTCCCAATATACTACCACTACGCTACTGATAACTGATATTCTACTCATACAACTAACAAACACGACAGGAAACATGAAATATGAACACCGGTTTCTACAAAATACAGTAGTCATATAGAAGTTCTACTCGGCAAAATATGTCATCGTAACTTTGCTTTTGGCAGTGGAACTCTTCAGATGTGAACTTTCGGCTTTACTTCTCAACACTTTCGTCTTTCAAAAAGGAAATTCCACCGATGGAGTGAAGCCTTAACTCACGTTTCTCATAAGTCGCAACGCGAAAGATTGGAGAAACTCACTCGTGGCGTGGGGCAGCGCGGTTTTTTGAACGTCATCCCGCGCGGCAGGCGGAGCGAGGGACGATGGTCTGCACCTCTCCCATTGCGCGCTGCTATCAGCAGTCGCTTTTGTGAGGAAGGAAAACAAGAGGAAAAAAAGAGAGAAAAGTGGATCGAACAAATAATGGATGCTCGTAGATGAATTATTGGTAAGGTGAGCAGAAATAAGACATGTCGACTAGGGCGAATTACTTCAATCAATGGCGAAACTGGCGAAATAGTCCTCCTGGATTGGGAAAACCACGCAATCAGCCGTCACGCCAAGTGTTATAAGGTGAGGACGACGAATGGTTGTGGCGTGGGGTCATGCCACGTTATAAGGTGAGGACGACGAAGGTTTGGCAAACTGCCAACAGATGGCTGTGACCTTAAAATGTTATAACGTTTGCGTAAGAGCTGTTTGCCTCACTCGCTTTCGCAATCGAAGGGACTATTTCGCCAGTTTCCTCATTTATGAAGTAATTCGCCTTGATAGTCGACTTTTCTATATTCTATGCTACTACTATACTACTACTACTTACTCAGTTCACAGGCCTTCGCAGCCCAGGCTTCAGGTCAGAAACAGGCTTGTGACAATATGAACGATTTCATGAAAACTCAATTCCTACAGAAATTTCAATTATATCATGTAAACTTACTTCCCTTGTAATGATAAGGACGGCTCAATGATAAGGCTGTATAAGCGAGGTCCGGTGCTACTTTTGCTTGTCAGGTCATCACCCTTCGCTCCAACCTGCCGGCGCGCTGACGTCAAAAAACCGCCTGCATATGCGCACGGGTGAGTTTTTTCCATGTAGAAGAAGTTCGGAATGTCTATTACAAACATGTGGGCCAAAATTGGCACCGAGACCTCCTGGGGTAAGTTCCATTCAAAGTTCCATGGGGATTTTCACCC